GTGTTTACAAATCTTGCTTTAACAAAAAAGGGAACATGGGTACGATGATAATACGATAGACAACCAATATATATATATATAAGTCTGTTTTGATACTGTATTATATTGATCTTTAGGACCGCCAATTCTTGTAATGTTTTATACCCCATGTTGTAAGTACGTGTGTGAAACAACCTCCAACCGTAACGGGAAACACGGTCTTTCCACATCACATCTAACTCATCATTGGTGAATGTCTTTCTCTTGTACTTCTTCTTGCCATCAGCCTCACCACCTTCTCCGTTGTTTTCGGGGACGGAATTCCCTTCATCACCTTCGCCTGGCTTTTCATCAACATGCTCATCACCCATGCCCTCCTTATGTTCATCATCAGCAGTGGTTGCACTAGGTTCCTGGTCATCTTGGTTGGGGGTTTTGCCGCGCCCCCTGCCACGACCCCCGCGGCCCCGGCCGCGTGCATTCTTGGTATGTGTTTTCTTGACAGCTTTGGGATCTTGATTTGCCTTGGACAGCAAAGCTTCAGCTGCTTCAACCCGCTTGGCCTTTTGCTGAACCAACTGGGCTTTATAAGCATCAGTGTTCACCTCCACCTCTTCCAACTTGACGGAGCTGGCTGACACATCTGGCATGTCGGGCTTCAAAATCATCAAAGGTTTGGTCTCCTTCCATGTGGATGAGGCAATGTCTGATAGCTTTTTGATAGTTATAATCTTAACCCACTTCTTATTTCGACACATAGATCGGTCAAATAAGAATATAATATATATATATATATTTATTTATTTACTTATTTATTTATCCTCATCTAGGGGCATTTTCAAAGGACAATGGTGTCAACATGCATGGTAGCACACCAGTCCTTCGCAGCTTGACGCCTGCTGGTGTCATCCTGACCTGTGGGCTCCACCGGCTCCGCCATCAGTTCATCCATGGTCATCTCAAGTTGCGTCTCCAACTCATCCATCGACTTCTGAGGAGCCTGGAGCTGTCACAAGTGCCAATGGAACCGGTTACAACACAGTAATTGTAGACAACATCAGGCCCTGCAGAATAGAATTCCCACCATATTTATGATCAAACAAATAAATTATCATTCCTGTTGGGGGCTAGATCAAATTGTATATTCCCTTACCATAGGCAAGTAGCTTTGCCACGATGCCGATGCGTGGGTGCCTTTATCCCACATGGTGGGGATGCAGAGGTTGAAGATGGTGTGGAAGCCTCCTCGCCTTCCTCCTCCAGGGATTATCCATCCAAACTAAAGTTGCATCACTCGGGTGCCCAAATGGCTAAAGGACTTCCAGAAGTTTACAGTATTCCTCCATACAGAACTGTTAGACAAGGGCATTTTCCCTTATGCGCAACTTAGTAAAGGGTACCCCGTCCTGAGCAGTGGCTGCCTCCAGCGCTGCCTCAATTCCTGCCTCTGGAGATGCTCCTGTCAAGTCTCCCCGGGACCGAGTGTTTTTGAAGGCCACAGAATACATGCAACAAGGTCTGGGTATAGCTAGAAATGGAATCAAAATCTCTATGTCTAATGCTGTATATGCACATATATAAATATAATATAATATGCGTGTGTGCATGGAGATGTTTCGCATATATATATGTTTCAATAAGTACACAATTATATCCCTGACAATCGATGCAGGCATACAAGACCAACATGTAGGATTAGGCAACATGTATACGGGTACATTACATCTCGGTTAGCTCCTTGTGCTGGATGTTCTTTTAGCAGCAGGATATCATGCATGCATTTTAGATTTCGTTTAATTAGATCGTTAGACCCGATGCTCATGCCAGACCCGACCTGATTGGGCCAGGAGCAAATGCAAAGTTTCCTTCAAGGTCCGGATGTAAGGCGAGCGGGAAGACTTGCTGCGATTCACCAAACTCAAGGTATGGACCAGCAAACATCGGATAGCAGGAGCTTCTTGCCGAGCCCAATCCTGAAGCGGGCAAGCAAGTTAATCTTTATGTATACCAAGCATATCTGTTTCGGATTGCTGGGTGGTATACCGGTATACCCGTCGACTATTTTTCTGAGGTTTTTGGGACGATGGGAAGCAGAAAAATAGAAATAAACACACGCGTGGATGAGTATTTGGGAATTTTGCGCCCACACAAAGAAAAAATCCAAGCCTTCACTATGCGGCCATAGCCCTTCTGCTTCGCAAAGATGCCATATCTCTTTGCCAAACAGATCAAAGTCTCCTTGCCAATCGGAAGCTCTGTTTGAGGAAGGGAAAAAGAAACAGTTTTCTATGTCCCAAACACTTCACTAGATGATTAATATATATGGTTTTGTGATTTCAATGTGTTTTGCTTTCAAAAATGTGATACAAACCCTAAAGTTGAGGAACTTTACACGAACTGGAGGACAAACCAGATCATCTCTTGAAACAAACTGGTTCAGTCCTGATGGATCTTCAAATTGGGAATGTTGTAGTCGGGGGATGAAGCAAAGAATTCCAATGCCAGCTTCCAATGGTTTTCAACCTGGTGTGGCAAAGCACGTACTACTAAACAACAATTTTGCACTATCACTTTGTTTTGTGAAGCATGTCCCTCTTAGGTTTTTGAAATTCAATCCGGGGAACCATTTCCGCTGAAGCAGGTCCTTCCTTGGGAACATGTAGGACAACATGGTCCTTGTCGTGTCTGATTCGTTCTGCATTGGTCAAGAAGTAGTTGTTCAAGAAGTCCTGGCACAGCATATATAGTTCCAATCAATGCCGGTAGTTACTTATACTAAGCCCCCATGGATATCATTAAGAAAACTATACTTCTTGGGAAAATCTCCAGACGGGGTGCCCGAAACTTGCTTTCATGCATCAATAAAAAGTTTCGGGCACCTCTATTTTGAGATATTACCATATGCAATTTTTGTAAAAGAGAAACCATATCATTTGATAATGCCATTTGGGTGAATATGGTCACCTTTGCAAAATTCCAAAAAATGTTATTGCAGGTGGCAAGGGAAAGGCCTGGAGATTACTGCGAGTACAAGGCAGGGCTCATGGAGATGGAAAACTAAAGCATGGTTTGAACCTTACCGGGTAACCCTACAGGGTAACCCTACCTGCTTCAATCATCACTAAAAACTCATTCTAACATTCAGCAAATTCCCCAAATAAAGCATAAGGGCTGATTGCGCATTTAATTACACAGATACATTCAGTAAGAGAAGACCCAGCACTCCACAAAGTTTAGCCCATTGCAATTTCTCAGACTGTCCTCCAAAATTAACTTTTGTGCCTTGCCAGTATCCATGGCCGGCAGGCAAGGGAATGGCGCAAACCACCGAGATCGAAGCAAAGAAAAATGCTTTGGGAAATGGCGGGATGGAATCCGGGATCAAGGCAAGTGGCACGATTGGATGCATGATCCAATATAGCTGTGAATATATAAGTATATATTGGATCGATAACACACACATATATGTATATATATATATATTTTCATAATACCTATTTAGTTTTTTATATTATACAGTATATGTTCCTGACAATCGACGTGGACAAATAGGTCTAACATTGCAATGTAGTCAAAATTATCTATGATTGAGATTGTAAATGCGAAAAAAACACGTTCTCCCAGCCCATGGCAAGGGGTGGGTGCGCGCCTCCCCATTTGTGCAATGGCCCCCATGCAGTTGATGCAGTTGGCACCGAATCCGATTCACCACGACACTGCTTCTTCCGCTGGGCTTCCCGATGACGTGCAATGGCACGTTTCATCGGCTTGATTACATATAATAGTATCGATTGAAACCTTAATGGGCCTATCTTTTGATGATGATAATGATTTCTCGTATATTCTAACCAGCTATGATCATATCAAGTTAACATAAAACCGTTTCAACTATATAGATACATGCGGCACATTCACAAAAAGTCTCGATCCACACTCCAAGGCGTCATTCCGACAAAATCCCAAGGGTTTTCCGACAAAACCCAACAAGTTCCGACAAATGTATGCAAATTTGGTGTTTAACGTAGACGTAGCCAAATTTTGACTACATTGCTATGTTAGACCTATTTGTCCACATCGATTGTCAGGGTATGTAATGTATGTATGTATGTAATGTAATGTAATGTAATGTAATGTAATGTAATGTAATGTAATGTAATGTAATGTAATGTAATGTAATGTAAGTATGTATGTATGTATGTATGTATGTATGTATGTATGTATGTATGTTATGTATGTTATGTATGTTATGTATGTTATGTATGTTATGTATGTAATGTATGTAATGTATGTAATGTATGTAATGTATGTAATGTATGTAATGTATGTAATGTATGTAATGTATGTAATGTATGTAATGTATGTAATGTATGTAATGTATGTATGTAATGTATGTATGTAATGTATGTATGTAATTAATGTATGTATGTATGTATGCATGTATGTATGTATGTATGTATGTAATTAATGTATGTAGGTAATTAATGTATGTAGGTAATTAATGTATGCATGTATGTGATGTAATGTAATGTAATGGAATGGATTGGAATGGAATGGTATGGTATGGTATGTATGTATGTAAATATATATATGTTTAATACTGTATAATGTTGTGAGTTAGGCCATCGACTTACGTATTATTTGCATTTATGTATATACCAGGAATTCAGGGAGCATTCTTGTGCGTTCATGGGCCAATTTCTTCTGACCCTGTCGCAGGCCCCACTTGTGATTTTAAAAATCGGGAAAGGGACATTAAAAGGACCCTCCATTTCAGGTACCCCAGAAGTAGATAGAGAATGATGGAGAAATGATGTGCCACTATTTTAGTAGAATCGTTCCCTTTTTTTCTCTCTTGGCTGTTTCTATACTTGTCTCATTTGGGGTGGGTTTGTGGTAAGCCCACATGAACAATCCCCAGATGCTGGATGCTTTAAGATGTGTCTCCGCTGTCGACAATGCCACCCCTGACTTCCATGACATTACCTGCGCGGGATCATGCGCCGGAAGCGGCGATCCACGGTAGGATACCTTGTCTGATATCAATGCTGAGAGTGAGGCAGAGTCTTGGCCGAGCGTTGAACACCGTGAACGTTTCACACTGAGGACTATAAGCTTAGAAGAAACTTCTTATATATATATATATATTCTAAACTCATCTATATAAACTCTATAAGAGATATACTATATATACATATATATTTATGTACTCTATATATTATATATATATACTAGTTTGAACCGCAAATCTTTCCCCCAGGGAGTTCTATTGTTTCTTTGCCAGTCAGCTGTTTTTTTTTTTCCGAGGACTTCAGCGATTTCGAAGATACGCGGCCAGAGATGAACAATTTGGGTTTCCTCAAAGCAGACGGGCAGCACCTCGGCTTCGCGCCGGTGACCGATGGTGGTTGATATGTGGGGAGTGCTGAACATTGCATTTTTCTGTGATGTTGATATGGCTACTTAATGATTATTTGGATGATGATGTTCTATATGCAATATGTATATATATATAATGTATATATATATATATATTTCAATGTTCTGTTTATTTGATGGTTATATCATATCTCTCCCCAACGAATTTCTCATAGAAAATGCGGGAGCCTAGGTGCTCTTTTAGGACCCCCTTTTCTGGGATTGTTTTCAATGTTTGGTGGCATGTGCTAGACAGGACATGTGCATTTTCTAGATTCTAGAGGTATTTTCATTTCGTAGCATGTTTCATGCATTTTCATCATTTCTAGAAGGATGTGGTGCGAGTATTTGTTGGAAATACATTCTGGAGAACACAAGTCGGTGCGTTTTTTTGGCTGGTACCACATGAGTTCAAAACCATGCATTTTCTTGAAAGGGCATTGTAACTTTTTTGGAACTCATTTTCTAGAGATGTCGCCGAGAGACACCAAAAGAAAAACACAATCCACTCCATGACGTCAAGACCACCACTTCAAAATTGACAAATTCATTCGATCCAATTTCATCAAATTTCGCTAGGCCCAAATTGATTAGTAGAAAAACGCGCGCATTATGCTTGAAGAATAGAATCATAATTTCTGGTACCTGTTTTCTTGAGAAATGTTGGTTACATATTGTTGAATATTGTTGTGATTCATGTTCTTGGAACACGATTAGCAAAAAAAGTTTGAGTTGTTTTGTTTTGAGTTTTCGTTTTCTGTAATGCTGACATATGTTGATCCATAGTTGCATGATCCCCGGCATGCTACATCTTCAGTTGTTGGGGTATATTCCCCGCTGTACTGTGCATACATATATATATATATACATATATGATGCAGCCTCCCAGGTCACCCCCCCTTGCCCCCCCAATGGGCATGGGTATACAGGAGCTATGTTCCCCGCCCCCACCTGTGGGTGGGCGGGGGGGTTAGTAGTAGTAGTAGTAGTAGTAGTAGTCGTAGTAGTCGTAGTAGTAGTAGTGGTAGTGGTAGTGGTAGTGGTAGTGGTAGTGGTAGTAGTAGTCGTAGTAGTCGCAGTAGTAGAGTAGTAGTAGTAGTAGTAGTAGTAGTAGTAGGAGGAGGAGGAGGAGTAGTAGTAGTAGTAGCAAGTCGTAGTGAGTAGTAGTTAGTAGTAGTTAGTAGTAGGAATGGGTATGGATATACAGGAGCTATATTCCCCGCCCCCCCCCTGTGGTGTGGTGGGGGTGTGGTACTGCGTATATATATATGATATATATGTAAATCTGTATGTGTATATATATATATATAAATATGTATATTCTGATAGATATATTAATATATATATATATGTATATATATATGTATATGTATGTGTACATATATATATGTATATGTATGTGTACATATATATATATATGTGTACATATTATATATATGTGTTTACATATATTATTTATATATATATTTATATATATACATTTGTGAATAGATGTATATATGTTTATATATATATATATATTTTTATATAATATATATATATATAAAAACGAATATGAAACTATATATGTATGTATGTATGTAAGTATGTATGTATGTATGTATGTATGTATGTAAGTATGTAAGTATGTATGTATGTATGTATGTATCTATAACATGTATATATATATATATAATTATTTAAATGTATGTATATATATATATATTTTAGGAAGTAGATACATAGCACATGTATATATGACTATAGGTAGCACGTAGGTACTTTGAGGGAGTATGTGTGCTACGTAGGTCGGCTAAAGGGTAGCATGTACCTAGTAACTGGGAGGCTGGTAGTCAGAATCGCTGCAAAAACCTAACAAATACGGGGCTGGACCCCAGAAATGTTGCCAATAGCTTGCAAATAGAAGGGACGTGGGGGGTGCTACCTGGTGACTCATCCCATTCGGGCAGGGACTTCGCGGTCGGAAGACGGGATCATATATATATATATATATATATGTATATTTATATTTATATCTAAATTTTAGATATTTATATTTCTATATATATGTAATTATTATTATATATATTTATATATATATGTTAGGATGTAACCCATTTTTCACTGCTAACTTCTGCGACCAGTGCGCCCGTTTGGCAGATGCACCAACCCCTCACAAGGCGGTGGAGTATCGGTCATCATAGATAGCTAAGTCGATTGTACAACTCGGCGTTATATCATATTGTATCTATATATATGTGTGTGTAATTATATATGCATATAGCATAATAGTTAGTACTGGTGTTCTTTATTCAAGTACATGTGTATATTATAATGACATAAACAATCGCTCCAAACACCGAGGAAGTTTTGCGATGTCAGCGGAGCCCAGCCCAGTGGCACTGAGCAATTGCAACGACACACCTCCAATCTGAAGGGCGACTGGAAGGAGAAAGGGCGACTGAGTATGGAAAACATTGATTTAATGTGACTTAATGGTGATTTACCTATATTAAAAAATGTGATTTAATGTGATTCACCTGTTAAACCCAGGATGTGCCTATTAAAGATTGTGATTTACTGTGATTTACCTTTTAAATCCTTTAAACCCTGTAGAAAATAGATGATAAACATGATGAAATTACCTATTATTAACAATGGTGATTTTCCATAGCAACTGCTTCATCACCAGCCGGATTGGAGAACAGATATTTTGTTCAAACAGATGGTAAATCCCAAAAAGAATCATGGCTGTTTCAATACTAAGTCACGGTCATCCATAACTTGGATGATATTTCATGAGTATCCGCATTTTAGGAAACCCCCATATGGGTCACATATTGATGTAAATTGCAGAATATGGATAGCATCTGAAATGGGTTTAAGGCCTTATATGAGCAACAAAGTACGAACCAAAAATTGAGACTATGACCATTGGTTCTGCGTAGCATTTGGTTAGGTAGGTATATACGTTGATGCATGAATGTCTTCCCGCCATAAATGCAGGATTTTACCTGATCTTATGTTTATTGTTGTTTGATTCTGTTTTTAACCATATATTTCGTGGTGGGCTGGCTGTTGTTGGGGCAAACCCTCTGACAAGCCACGGTAAAAGATACATCTATACCTATATCATTCATCATCATTCTATATCCACATCATCAGTGTGTGGCTGTGTGTTTCGGATGCTATTAAGTTTCTGTTGTTGTCCTACAGCTTGGATATTTGATCGATCGACAAGTACCATATATTTTGCAGAACCAACAAACACCTGGATCTCTAGCTGAATATTCATGTTTGTCCTATGTGTACAAACACATGTATACGTATATATATATATATAGGGAATATCTATATGTATGTATAGACATTATAATTATATTATATATATATATATTATATAATGTAGTATGTATATGGAAATATATCAGATAGATAGATAGATAGATAGATAGATTAGATAGTATTCATAAAGTATCAATATATATATCGAATAATTTTGCAATCCGTTTGAACACCAGTATTTTTTTCAGAGGACTCTCCTTCGCAGGATCGTTTGCAGAAACTCTTCGACCTGGTGCCCGATGAGGAAACCGACCAGCAGGAGCCAAAGGCGGAGAAAGAAATCCCAGAGGAGGAGTTGCCCAAGGGAAACTCGGATTTGGTACCTGGGTAGCCTCTGGTCAAACATGGCAACGGAAATTCATGGAATATCCTGGAAGTGTATAAATGATTGAAGCATTCTATTTTCCATTTAATTTATAGTAAATTTACGTTTGACTACCGCAGGATAACTGAATTAGAAAGGTGGGTTTCCCTTGTTGTACCAATAGACATGGTATGAAATGGTTGGTTAATCACCAACAAATGGACAGATTGATCCACATCATATCAACCGAAACCCAACCCACCTCAGGGTAAGCGTTTTTTTTGGAATGTACGGGGGATTTGCCGGAAAAAGAGGCGTAGCTCAGGTTTATGACATGTATTGATTTTAATCCCTGACCCTTGTTGACCGCTGGATTCCCCATAAAGCTAAGAAGCACTTTTGTTTGCAAAAAGTGCGCGTGAAATCAGTATAGATCAACTAATTGAAGGAATGCAGGACATGTTTGCCCACCAGAAATCAAAATTACTTGTTTTTGTGGCAAGATTTTACCAATCAAAATGAACCAGCATGGGGACTCAACAAACACATCTTGGGAAGCTTTGATGGAATTTCGGATCCCATGTAGGGTTGATTTCGATGAATATGACGAGTAACCAATCCAGTGATGGTGAACATAGGCTTCAGCCAGCATGTTTGTTGGATTTACCCAGACAAAATGAGGATTGAATCTGCCAGATGTCAGATGTAGATTTTCTCAACATCTTGGTGGGCAAGCAAAGTTTCAACGCCCTTGCAGGTGTTGCGCGCTGTTGATGCTGAGAATTCACCTAAAGTAGCTCAGACTAGTCCTGAGTAAGTCACAATTCCAGGGGGATTTTCTCATAATTAGCTACAGAATGACCTCCGCTGCCGGGTCTCAGTATTCTCAGGAAGCACATGGACAAGTGATGCCGTGGTTCCGGCCAACTGAGTTTCTTGTTTCTGAAGGTGACGGGTGCTGTGACAGGAGCCACAGAAACATAGAGAAAACATGAGCGTGCAGCCCAGATTGAATACATTTGAATACATTGATCCCTGAAATCGATGCAACGGCAAAATTTCTCCAATACGCAAGCTGCTAATTAACTAGAGGTCGAAGAATTTGGACTTGTTGACCCCCGTGGGGTATTTTGTTGACTGCTGCATTCAGTAGAGGGTAAACCTTGGTTCTGTAGGTTAAAGTGTCAAACTTAGTTTCAATTGGGATTACTTATATTACAACACCCAACTTAATACTTAGCTGTTTGGTTTGCAGGAAACTTTGCAGCTAACGTCAACGATGACAAGCTCTACTCCGTTCATCTTTCAAAGGCATCAAGGATTCATCAAGGTATAGAAAGTGGATGAAAGTGGACTGGTTGGTGGTTTCAAACATTTGGTTTATTTTCCATTATATATGGGATGTCATCCTTCCCATTGACGAACTCCATCATTTTTCAAGATTGTTAAAATCACCAACCAGTGGACTAGAGGACAACCACTTGGCATCCCAATTTGTCGGCCAAGGCCACGTCGCGTTTCGTCGCTTGTTTATTGGCGCCGTAGGATGCATCCCTGAGAGCAGGGGGATGGGTAGGCCAATGATGTATCCACAGGACCAGTGGTCGAAGATACCGCAACCGATTGATATACATATATATATATTATACATATATATATATATATATATATATTATACATATATATATATATTTATTTATATTTACATGAGACAGGGAGAGAGATGCATATACAGACTCAGATACATGTCAAAAAAATATTCTATAATTATATACATTCATTCATTCAAAACAATTGAAACACATCAAAGACCATCGAAAAGCACTGAAAACCAATGAAAACCATTGATAACCCTGCAGTATGTGGTTTTGCTAGCAAAGTGGTGGTAAGGCCAAAAACAAGTACAAGTTGGGGGAGTAAATCACCTGGCATTGTAGCCCTTGATGGATGGGCAACCACTGTTGCACCCATCCACAGTACTGTCATGTTTATCCCAGTTAAGATGTTTATCCCACTTAAGAACTGGTGAATTTCGAAATATCAGTGGTTTCCCCACTCAAAAGCACAGCAAGCCTAGGGAGACTTACTAGGCTTCCTAAGCACCAAGTTGTACATCCATCCTGGAAAGAGCCATTTATTTTACCACTGGTCCCCAGATAGGCGTTAGGAAGCCACGGGACGCGTGGACACGAAAAAAAAGTGGCGGCGGCGCGTTGTCGTGGCTTCGCGTGAAGGTCCCCGCTGGTGGTTTCGTTTCTCTCAAAATGTGAATGTTTGTTTTTTGTTTTTTTCCAAATGTCTATTCTCTAATTCTCAGGACACGGAAAAATGCAGTTTTTGCCCATTGGCTTTTGTGTTGATCTTGAACCCTGCGGGAGATATCTTTGGGTTTGTTTTCACATGAAAGTCCGCCAAAGTGCGCTCAGAGACGGATCCGCAGGGTTGGACCATCGACTATCATGAGATTGGCCATCCCCAGAATCGATTGGGTGGGCGTAACCGAGGCCCACATCATCATCATCATCATCATCACCAGCATCAGCATCAGCAGCATAGCATGAGAATCAGTTTCATCATTTTCATCAGTTTCATCATCGTCATCATCTTCATCAGTTTCATCATTTTCATCATCTTCATCAGTTTCATCATATTTATCAGTTTCATCATCTTCATCATCTTCATCATTTTCATCATATTCACCAGTTTCATCATTTTCATCAGTTTCATCATCGTCATCATCTTCATCAGTTTCATCAATTTCATCATATTCATCAGTTTCATCATCTTTATCAATTTCATCATATTCATCATATTCACCAGTGTCAGCATTTTCATCAGTTTCATCAATTTCATCATCCTCATCAGTTTCATCATCATCTTCATCATCTTCATCATCTTCATCATCTTCATCATCTTCATCATCTTCATCATGATCATGAACAACACCATGGAGCTTTCCTGAGGTTTGCAGTCTGAGCAAACCTTGCTGCAGTTGGTTGGGGCCTCAAAGTTGATGCTAGTGGTTGCCTGGGACCTTCCGGGACCCCTGATTTAGTTTTACCATTGGATTTATTGATATTTGTTGTGTGCATCATTGTGCATCTATTCATCACTCGGGTGATTTTTACCATTTGGGGGTCCAAATGTGGAACTTGTTAGGTGCCGTATTTCATTGGGGTTCAGATATGTTCAGATTGAAGGGTGAATTTTGCAGGGGACCATTGTGATTTGTTCCTCAAACAAGTCTTGAGCCGTTCACACAAGAAACATCCATTCATCTCCCATCGAGCTGATCCGTGAGGCCAACACATCGGTAAGGGAGTGAAGATAATCTCAGATAGCACAAGGAACCAACAACAGGTTGTGCCCTAAAATACCAGAAATCTAATCCGACCATGGGAAAATTGCCTGTTTCTCAGGGTTGCATAAACCTACAGGCAAATCATTGCCACGACCCCCCTTGTAGTTGGGGGTGTTGGTAGCAACCCTGTTTAATTACTGATACATGTCTAGCCTGGATTCAGAACTGGATATCCTAGCTTTCAGATGCTTTCAGTGTGGCTGCCAGTTTGGTCAAAAATATCCTCAGAACCAACACAATCAGCATTGTCATCAACAAGTTCCAGCATTTCGCAGAATCAAACCGCAGAAGTTTGACAAAATGAGAATTGTCTGATTTTTGTTTAACCAAATCCTCCGCTACAAGTCGATACCCAGGCGTGTTTATGATTGACGGTGGAGGGATTGAGGATAACAACCTTGAATTTCAGCTGTTTCTGCGCACCTAGGTGGTTATTGAGGCATGGAAGATCACGGGCATTGGTTTGTACATGTTTGTCCAGATCAGGGGTGTACCGGTGTACCATGATGTACCCCATTTATGGTCATTTTAAGTGGGGAACATCATGATAAATCATGATAAACTTAATACATTGTGCGGGCCCCTATTTTCTGGACGAACTCCCATGTGGTACTTAGATCATCGGGTAAGCATGGGTGAACAAAGCGTATGTTTTTTGACCATATGCCATACATAACTGAGTTGCACATCCAATGAGGTAGCTCCACTACAGTATAGTTGCACTTTTATTTCCGAACATAGCAACGTGGCGTTTGATATGATTTTGTTTATTTTGTTTGTTTATTTTGCTTGCAGAATTTTAATGCATATCGCGGCTGTCATTCCAGGACTGGAGACAGTGCAGGACCACTTGTTTGATTAGCCTTTTGGCAATAGCAAACCCATGGAAATCCCAGTGTTCAAGAAGAGCATCAACTAATATCAACGAATACGGCCATAAGGCTATAAGTGATATTATAATCCTAACGCTATTGACTATCCATAAGGCTATAAGTCTATCGGTTGATACTTTCCATGGTGGAAACACCCTTGGGCAATGTGTTATTTCGCCGGACTGGCGATCCAGTCCTTGAGCCATCCGTAGAGGCCGATGCTGACGCAGCCGGCAATGCCGGCAACGTCTCTTTTTGGTTGACTGTCGGTGAGGTGCCTGGTGATGCAGAAAGTTGGCATGCTTCGACCTCAAATGTCGTATAATGTCTTTAATGTTTGGCAAGTAATTCAATATTTATGATTCGTATTACAGCAATGTATGCATAATTATGCTGCATATATAATCATATATGTTGAATTGGGATACATCCACCATCGTCCACGCAGGCAGTCTTACTGTAAGTATTATGACAGGCTCTGGATCATGATGTTTCGTTCTTGTCAACTAGCAGGAAAGAAGATGAAAACACAAAATCATGGCGGAGTGGGATAGCTGTCCCGCTTCCCTGGTATTTCGCCATATTTTACCACTGTTTTTTTGCGTCGTGGTTAAAAAAAACATGTTTTTTCAATGTGTTTCCCTCGATTTAAAGATGATTCGAACTGAGTATTGTTCAGCTTCAAACCACCAGTGGATTCTAAGTGGATTTGGTGGCAAGTTTCCCTTACCGCTGAACATAATCAAACTCTCAGGTTTGCGGCTTCGATGCCCCTGCCCCAGTTGTGTGTTGGTCTATAAACCCCATTAACTATATATATATATACAGATTTAAAAAAAAAAACGAATAGATCTACCATAGTTGTGTGGTCACTGCTAGTGTGATAGGGAAATACACAAGATCTACCATAAACCCAACAGTTGTATGTTACATAGAGTTAGACTACTATCATATAATACATATTAAGCTTTACAATACAGTCTATACAATATAGTCTGTAAATAAACCCAACAGCTATATGTTGACATCATATTATACTATAGTTATATATAATATATAGTTATTTTCAATCGACATAACCGTAGCCAAGTAACATGGTGAGCCACTGCGCCAGGTACCATCTGCTAGCCCAGAGGGTCTCATAGTGACCACGGGGAACACTCGAGGCGGCCTTTTCCCGCTTGAACTGGGGATTAGTTTGATACGGTTTGAATTGGTTTGGTATATAATGATTTATATTGATTTATATGTTTATTATATATATATGCATAACATAACATAACATGATATAATATAATATCATATCATATGGTATAATATAACATAAAATATAATATCGGTATATATATATATATAACATATATTATATAATAATATATTATAATATATATATATATCCTAAACAAAAAAAAATGGTACCCGGCCTGGTACCCCAAAACCATGGGTTTCAATACTAAAGTAGTCTGATTTTGGATGATTGAGTTTAAATTTTAGGAAACCCCCACCACAAACATTTGGATCCCATATTAGATGATTTTCCCAGCTCGAAACCTCCGTAATGACAATTTCCAATTGCCACGTTTGATGACCGGAGGGTAGGTATCAAGCAATGATTTTGGACATGTTTCTGCAACCTATAAAACTCGCTTGAACTTACGGCTAAACCTTGGTTGCAGAAGGGCGGTGTGTTTCATCAATATAACAAGAGGGTGAAGCCGCAAATGGATGCAAATGGCAGATTCATGCTTTATTCTTTGCCATAGGCGTTGACTGCGGGATATAGCGGGTGTTAGAAGATCAACAGCATTGTTTTGGGGGCAGGGTATATTAGGGTAATTATCCGAAATATTTGATCCAGGTAACCTCCTGATCCCTCAATTTTCAGAGACCTGGCCCCGTTGCCTCAGGGCTGACGAACGCCGTCAGCCTTTTCGACAATGTGGAGGCGCAGATCCTTAACATGCTCATCAGGACTGGATGATACCCGATGTTGGCTATAACCCCTAATCTTCCGAATTAGGAAACCCTTTGGGTTCCAAACTCTTATATAGATCTTACAGCGCAGTCTTTGAGTTCCCTGATTCAATTCAATTCCAGGGTTATTTGATGGTTGCCTTTTGGGCCTTCAGAAAAGGCCCTGGCACAGCTGGTTCCTGACAGTTGGTGAATCCATTCGCACACGAAAACACACATATATATATATAAATCTACACTCACATCTTCAAACAGATCTTGAAAAATGGACACCTGGAAAGCTGAAACTTTAAACCTTCAACCTGGAAAGAGCTTCGTGGAATATTTGGATTCCATGTCAGGTTTCAACCAAAACTCTTCGTGCCAATCCCTGCGCAGGACTGTGCACCAGAAGGCGGGAACCCGGTAGGGCACCAGACCAGCACGAGGGGTGCCAGGTTGGGACCATCGAAAATATCAGGCCTGTAATGGTAGATATGATTTGATATCATAAGATATGCATAAGATATGGCTTGATCTTATGATATCTATCATCTTTTTGGGGGTAAATGTTGCGTGATTGTGATAGTTCATCAGACCTGCAACCTTTCCATCATGTTTGGCATCCTCTTTTCACCATTTCCAGTAGGTCATAGTAGGTCCAAAGGCCTCTTCACCTTCGTTGTCTTTGAACATATCTTGAAGGGATGCCTTCAAAGCCTGTAGACTTTACCCCAAGTTTGAGATGTTTGCAATGGCCACCGGCTTGTGGGCTTCAGTTACGAGTAGACTAAATGGTAGGTAAGATGAACTCATGTTGTGATGCACTAAATTGTCCACTAGGCATCAACTGCACATTATATGATATTATATGTAATTATGTATATTATATATATGATAATATATGATACCTATTTAATAATATAAAAAAAACAATGCCGGGGGTGATGTCACACAGAGCAACGAGGAGCAATGGGGATGGCACGATCCCGCAGCACGATTTTTCGCAGGTGTCAACGCTGACTGTGCTGGTGGAAAGTGGCTATCAGGAGCGAAGTGGTGTTGTTGTGCGCGACTGTTACCATCTGGTTATTTAACATAGCCAAAGAAAATCACCATTTGTAATAGGTAAACCATCTATAAATGGGCCATTTTCCATGGCTATGTTAAATAACCAAAGGGTAGCTATTGTGCCAACATGGGGATGGCTCGAAACCATTCAAATCCTATGTTTCATACCATATTTAGGGGGAATAAACATGGAATAACCATCCATTAAAACCAACGATTTTGGCTACCGTTTGGGTAGCAGGGTTTTTGTCCAATAACCAAATGCCCAGATTGATATGGCTCAAAGTTCTCAACCAAATGACCAGCTGTTTGCGGGTCTCCTTGGTAATTTGGCTGTGCATCCCAGTTAGTAAGTGGGCAATAAGCATATTTTTACTGGGTTATAAACTACTATATTTACTAACTCATCTAATTCTTGTATAACCTTAGCAGATCCAATTTGTGACTGATAGATTTTAAAATGGATTAAACACTATAACATCAATTCCCCAAGTATCACCTGATGTTTGCAGTTTCCTTGTCCATGACAGGGCTGCGATAACGTTCGCACCATTGCTGCACAGTGGAACCTTTTGGTGGTCGTTCAGGCGGGCTGAAACTTGATGAATGGTGAGCTCAGCCATGAATGGAATGTGATCCCATCGCCGAATTCCCCGAATATTAAACCATAGTAACTATAATACTCACCACTGTATGATACTGGTCCCAAATATATCATCACTAAACACTGACTACATTGCTTTCGTCCCCTACTAAACAATGGTTTCTGGAGGGTGTTTTTCATATTGAACCGATGAAATTACCCTCATACTCTGAGCTTTGCCGTAGAATCTAACATTTTTCGGGAGATCCGGAGATAGCATCGCAAGAGGAAATCCGTAATTAGAAACATCTGTAATTCGCATATGTTTGACAATTATATTTACATATATATATATATGTATATATACAGTATGTTAACAACGTCAGCAATAGATAATAATAGATACTAATACTAACAAACAAAAATTCAGTAGAAACAACACTAATAATAATAATACCCATTTATCTTTTATGAATGACGCATTTTCCGTCACGAGTTCAGGGTACCAGAAGATCTCTGAAAGTTGCTTGCCATTCCCATCTCTTCCCTCAGCTGGGTGACGGGCTCAAGCAGCAAATGCAACCGCCCTGAGCCTAGCTGACCTAGCTGCCTAGCTGTCACCCTTCCCAAATGCAGCTACTCGGCAGTGGTATTGACCGTTCTGCAGGATTTCTAGGTTTGGCCTTTTTAAGTGAGGAAAAAGTTGCCATGGGAGATATTTCGATACTTGACTAGCTGTACTTCGTGACAATGACTGTGATGTGATGATCTAAAGTGATATAAACATACAAATCGCAAACTTAATTGTTAATTCTACGTGCCGATTGATGGGGGCAGAATCAATGAAAACAAGTCAGGATCAGAGGAAGCAGTGTGGGTATACAGTATACTACGTAACAGTTTATGTATGTACATAAATATATATATATATACACGTATGTATGTAATGTAATGTAATGTAATGTAACGTAATGTAATGTAACGTAATGTATGTAATGTAATGTAATGTAATGTAATGTAATGTAATGTAATGTAATGTAATGTATGTATGTATGTATGTATGTGTGTATGTATCTATGTATGTATGTATGTGTGTATGTATGTATGTATGTAATGTAATGTAACGTAACGTAATGTAATGTAATGTATGTAATGTAATGTAATGTAATGTAATGTAATGTAATGTAATGTAATGTAATGTATGTAATGTAATGTAATGTAATGTAATGTAATGTAATGTATGTATGTATGTATGTATGTATGTTATGTAATGTATGTATGTATGTATGTATGTATGTAATGTATGTATGTATGTATGTATGTATGTATGTATGTATGTATGTATGTATGTATGTATGTATGTATGTATGTATGTATGTATGTATGTAATTATGTATGTATGTAATTAATGTATGTATGTATGTATATATATGTAATGTATGTATGCATGTATGTAATGTAATGTAATGTAATGTAATGTAATGTAATGTATGAATGTATGTATGTATGTAATGTATGTATGTAACGTATGTATGTAATGTATGTATGTATGTATGTATGTATGCATGCATGTATGTATGTATGGTTAGGTTATGATATGTTATTTTATGTTATGTTATGTTATCCTATGTTATGTTATGTTATGTATGTATATATATATATATAGATATACATGCACCATGCACACATACATGTGTACGATCGCATCCGGAGATCAGCTCATCAGCTCGAATCCAAAGAGGCCACTGTTGCGAAAATCCCAGGAAAAAACCAGAGATAGAAACCCATGGTTTCCAGCAGATTTTCCCTTCAATCCATTCATTGAAAGCATTTTTGGGGTTGGTGTTGGATTTGCCCTACAGGTTTTGGACTACTAGCTGTCCCTAGTGTCATCCATTGCTGTGAGGTTTCGTGAAGTGATCGGCTTCTTGCTGGTCATCTTTATTTCGTCTGAGGCCCTGTCTTGCTGCAAAACTTATGCACAATGACATTTAAGCCAATAATTACACACATATATATATATATATATGTATATTATGTGTAATCATACATTTTTATTTAGATTATGTATTAGTATATATATATATATGTACATACATATTACAGTATATCACGTTATTTCACATACAGATCATCTAAACAAACTAATATCTTCTGTTTAGACAGCCAGGCCTTTAAGACGCACGCGAAGCATGCGGCGCTGGCAGACGACACGGGAAATCCCATCCGCAAGGCAGCTGGGGATAGGGAGATCAGCACTCCGACTGACGATATGGGAAAATCGCAGGGAAATGTGTGAAATATGCATAATATGCAACATATTTATCTGGTTGATGGTTTCAAACATGTGTTATTGTTCCATACATTGGGAATAATAATCTCAACTGACTAATATTTTTCAGAGGGGTTGAAACCACCAACCAGTTATAATTAAGCAATATTAAACACATCATAAATGGAGCTTTACCGGTTTACCCGGGAAAAACATCTATACATGGGGATCCTCCATTGCCACGTTTGGGGTAGTAGATGTTCAGTTTACGTGACATGACTTTGTTAAGGGTAGGAGTAGCATATTGTTTCATAGTTCTTGGGGGTACCCCGGTAACCCAGCAACACTTGCAATGAATTAGCAGAGTTTATTGCGGGGTTGACATTCCAGTCTCGGGGGTTGAAACTACCCTCTAAAGCAAGAGATGGAAATAAATCGCCTGTTTACATCCATTTATCTAAGGGTTGATGGGTGCAAATGACTTTTACTGGTAGCCAGACATTATTACATAGTTCTTGTGCGGGGAGAATGCCACTCAGGGTGTTCCCTTAGATTTTCTATGAGAAACGGATCATGGCACAAGCCCAAGCCAAGTATCTAGCAAATCCTTTGAGGTAGTGGCAGGAGCCATTTCTGTCCCTCTCAGACACACCAGTTTTGAACTGCAAAGAAGACCACTTAGACTTATACTTTTACATATGCATACGTAATTCTATATATATGTATATACGGTATATACGTATATATACGCACATAACATAGCAATATGATATACACAATGTATGCGTATATTGTATATATGCATGGATAGGGTGACTGCGTTCAGATACAAATCTACGCAAAGATAGGTTGCTACATGGATGCTGCATCTGGAGGTAGTCGCCATGATGGAGAAGATGGCAACTTGGACGACTGAGATTTGGAACCATTTTGGAACACAGATTTTTCCCTTTTAAAACAGGGGAACCTCATGGTGCAACGTTCGATCTCAGTTTATCCCATTTTCTAGTAATTTGGATTTCAGGAGTATCCAATTTTGAACCGATATGTTTTTGCAAGCTCAACATTTGCAGACTTCAACGGCAATTTCTCCCATTGGGGCTGGTCCATTCACAGGGGCCTGTCAAGCCCGCGGCAAAGCCACTTGTGCATTGGTCGGTATTGAGCCTCGCCGAGGGGTCACAGCTCATTCTGCGAATAAGACAGGCCAATAGCCTCCATCAAACCAACATAGAAATGGAAAACCTATGAAAATCCATAAACATCCACCACAATTTCCATAGTTCTGTTAGTTTACTGGAAGATATGGTTTGCGAAAGGATTGTTCCTCCTGGTTTGCACGGAGGCTCGAAGCTGTGACAGTCTAAGGCCAAAAAGATTGAAGAGGAGGGAAAGTCTGAAGAAGATCTATTTGAGAAGTTTGAGTGCCTTGGTTACTTATGGCTATTTGGGTTTCCGTAGGGCAGGAGCTTCGATTCTGAGATCGAGTGCTGCAAAAGAACCTGGAGATTAACCACCCAAAACAGATTTCAGTATTAACAATTGATGATATCATAGTCATAAATCATAGTACTAGTACTAATAATAAGAATAGCAGTAGCAATAACAATAACACATAATAGAACTAATCAAAATAATATGATGTTTCAGATCTTGATTGGTGGAAACCACTGAATTCATCAGTTTCCATGGTCCTTTTTGAACTTTCGGCTTTCCCTTTGCCATTCTTTGTGCAGTCAGGTGCTATTGCAAAAAGACCACTGCAGAGTTGGAAGAGAGCATTAGCATTGCAGCCGCTGGATGGAGTCATGTGGTGATGTGTTGCCCAAATACAGATAATTAGGTTAATTATGATAGGTCCATGCCCCCAGCAAATCCAGAATTCAGTGCTTAATGAATGTTGATGACCTGCCACCCGGTCATTTTTCTTTTGCCTCCATAAGTATTTGTTTAAGGTTTATTAATAGTGCCATACCCATCGCAAGCAGCATGTCAAAGCGCATATTCCGGGTCAACCTTGGATGGGACTTGAGGCACCTCAGAAGTTTATGACAGGACATTTGGGTAATTACTCTCTGGTAAACGTTTACAGTTTGCGAACTGGAAAAGCACCATGCTATTAATATGTAAATCAACTATAATTATTCAACTATAAATAGATCATTTTCAATAGCTTCACACTTGGGTAATTACCACATAGACACTTTGAGCCACCCTTGAGCCGCCACCCGGTGTCGCCGGAAGCAGCCGCATCCAGGTCAGCAGCCCCATGACGCAGGCGGACATCGACAGCCGCAAGGTGCGGTTCGCCGCAGTTTTCAACGGCGGGGAAGCGCCCATTGATGGATTAATAAACTATGATGAACAGACATGAATACAACATAATACAACTCTGGTTGAAACAGCTATAATTAATATAGCTAGGGTTTATGTTAAATATGTCCATACTTAGTGACATTTTTTGACACTGCCTTCCAGTTCCCCCCCAGCTTCCACTCATGAATACCGATTCTTTTTTTGCTCCGAGCTAGTGTGTCGTCCAAGCGAACTGCAATATGAAAGAATGCAAAGATGAACCCAGGAAGAAAGAACTTGATGTTCGAGTTCTGATAGCTTGCAATGGCTTGCAACTGAGAATCAAAACCCACCACCTATCACGAAAGTTGATTCCAAATCAGCAACTTGCTAAAAAAAACAAATAGAACATGTTAGAACTTCGAACTTTTTCGGTGCGTAAAACCAATGATAGCAGCTCAGTAAGCTTAAGTTTTGGTGCTTGTTGGTTCTTAAGATTTGCCCGTAACGAGCCACACCACTTACGTCACCTCGGCATCACAAAGGGCTGACGGATCACCTGACTGGACTTGAAGCGTTTTTCGGATGAAGCATTGGCAAAATTCATGACGATGGTTTATATGGTTTATTAGTAATTACGATTTTAAGCACAAGACATGTATGCACTATCATGATCTTTGATGCACATATGAGGATGGAAGATGATGGATGTATAGCAACAATCATTCTGTTTAAGAATTATGGACAACCCCATTCCAAATTCCAAAACAACATTGAGATTCGTTCTGTATTTAAGGAATTGTCAGGTTGGTAAATTATGACAAGACAAACCAACCACCATGGTGAACCGGCTCGTACGAAGTCCGGATCTTGACCATCAAAACATCATTGCTTTCAACAAAAGTCTATGGGGAAAAAACTCTAATTGGGGATATGTGGGGTTAAAAAAAAACAGGTTTCGAGGCTTCCTTGTCCCTCCTAAACCAGCATTTTGGGACAGATTAATGATTAATACCAATTCCCAGTGACCTCTATTTATGGTGACATGGTCAAACCATCTTTCATTTCGTTCAGCTATTTTTGCTCGGTGAAACGTGTCTTATCCCCAAAATTTGAACAATGAGTTGCACAAAGCATCCCCAGTCATGGTAGCTTGTTGGCACTGGGTGAATTCCACAGAAAAAAAATATTTAACCACCATTCTCCCATCATTTAACCATCATTATCCCATTATTAACCACTATTAACATCTATTAACCATTATTAACGATGTTAAGCACTTTCAACAACTCTTAGCCACATGAAACCACTATTAACCAATATTAACCACCATTAACCAAGAAAAACATCCACTGGCGAGGCTGAAGTCGATAGCTTGGAGGCAGAGGTGAAGAAACTGAGCCTTGGATGCCTTGGATCGCCATCGGTAGTGATGCCCTCAGGTAAAGGTTTACATAGCTATAGAAAATCACCATTATTTTCATGAAATTAATGGGTAAATGGCAATCATGAACTGGTTGGTGGTGACTGGAACCATGGAATTTTATGACTTTCCATATATTGGGAATAGTAATCCCAACTGACGAAGTCATATTTTTCAGAGGGGTATAGGTATACCACCAACCAGCATTTAATAGGGGTAGTCCGGGATAGTGATGATGATGAACTTTCATCTATGATTAAAATCAAACATTTGTTGCGAATGTGTTTTCGAAGTACAGAATGTATGACCTGCGTGTACGCGAGATGATTGATCATTTTTTATTTTCCGTATTGATGTAATAGAAGTGTAAGATTGATGTGCACACATATATGTATATACTGTGTTTATATATATATATAGATATGCATGCATATATATATATACATACTATATAGACATGTGTATATACAGAGAGAGAAAGAGAGACAGAGACACACACACACATATACATATACCTTGAACTTCAAGTTCGTGAAATTTCTATGTTCTTCATTTTCGAAGGATTTTCCGGGTTCTCTGTGAATTTCCGGGTTTTGACTCTTTCAGTCAATTTCCATTTTCCAGCTCAAGCGTTCATTCGTCGAGCTCTTCGGCAATAGGCCCGAAGCCTGGAACTTAGATTGCCCTTTCGCTTTCGGATGAGGGCTTTCGTTCTGATCAGGACCCTTTCCAAGACTCTGAGGCTGACTGTCCTAGAGCTTACCCTTCGGGCAATTCTAGAAACATGCCCCACCACTGATTCATTTGCTTCGCAAGAGAATACTAAAGGGTTGAGAATCCTGGGTGCGTGTGACTGCAATTGAAATTTCAAACTTTTGGAAATGTGATGCAAAGCACGCATCTTCGGTTTTAAACCAAAACCAACTACACCTAACCTTCTCGATTCCATGGCCAAAAATCGATAGGCTCGGATCATAACAAGTAGATGATGCTGGCACCTTTGGCCACAAACCCGGTCCATCCACAAGGGGTGAGAATGGAGCACAGCAAACAAAGCGATTGCACTCTCACAAGCTTCAATCAGGGCACCCTCTAGCGCATCATTCACTGGCCCACGGCTTTCTCGGGAGAGACGAACCACATGGAGAACCCATTGGGTCATTAATGTTGTGTCAGAACCTTTCACATTAGCCCATGCAAAAGACCGCTGGTTAGGCGTATTGAACAGGCTTTTGGAGAAGTAATGGATCGCTGGTGTTTTCTGGTTCGCAAGTGTCCAAAGGCGGAATGAACTCCATGCCCTCTCCAAACGGTCAGGAAAGTTTTCGGAAAAACCTGGAAAATCAAAGTACCCCAAGAGGCACAGAACCACTGTTGCTGACCCAATCAAATCTCGGCCAAGGCCGCACTTCCAGCAATGGAACAAATCTAATCGGAATATACCTTCAGCTTTTCCAGTCTCAAAAGGCAATTTGGCCAATGATGGCACCATGTTCTCTTCCCAAGGAGGTTTTTGAAATTCTGTTGCCAACCACTTTGGATGATCTGAAAGATCTTCAAACTCAATTCCTTCTTTACCAGCCAAGCACAGACTACATATAGGGTGGTTCTTCTTGACACCAACGTTGTAGTACGAGCGCTGTAGGTTTCCCAGTTGGTGATGAAATTTCAAATCCCCTTTGCACCCCAAAACTGCACCAAAGTAGGTAGACCCAGATACCACGATGCCATGCCAGAACAATTCAGAGAGGTCAGAGACAACCTCATCGAAAGCCATTGTAACCAAACCTTTGTTCTTTCGGTACACCTGGGATGCTATGCCAAACAGCAAGAATTTGGACAAAAACTCGTTTCCGCTATCGTTGACTTGCTGTGTTGAAGCTAGTGCCGCAGCTTGATCAATGGCCACTCCATGGGAGCCACAGTTCATAGCCCCATACCTTTGAAGCACTGGGTCTGAGGAGCAATTGCAAGGCTTCGGTTTTTTGGGTGAACTTCCCAGAGCACATTCAATAGTACAAACCATGAAATTGCCCTTTTTCAAGTATCGTCCCTCATCGCCATACAGTAGGAGAGGTAGCGTATACGCAAGTTTTCCGGGGTCCAACTTGTAGACTTCATGGCCTGGTTGAACAAACTTGTAGCATTCCCAAAAGGCAGCCAGCTGTTGATGTAGGTCCTTGCCATCACCTCCTTGAAGGAGAAACGAATAGTTGCTAAGCAAAGTGCTCAACCATGATGTAGGTTTCACTAGTGGCAGCTCGATGACACTACCATCTTCAGCAGTGAAAGAAATCATAGATTTGTCCACTGTCAAGGAATACCCAGCTTTTTCTAACATGGTTTGGACATCTCTTTGTGCGTTCTTGTCACATCCCCCAGTTGTGGAGGAAGGGGTTCTACCAAAATCTCCCTTCACCGCCCTGAGGTTTCGAGCGATGGATGTTGCTGGGGCCTTGGGCAGGTTCGAATGGGGCAGCTAAGACAATTTCATGCCACAATTTCATGCCACAATTATTCCTGAGGCCTAGGCCCCACGGCCCATTTCTTCAGCATAGTGTTGCATGAGATGACTTTCAGTAGCATCATCATCACTTTCTATCATACCTGGCAAAGTGACCATCGATGTCCGAAAAGAAATTTTTACTGGGAATGAAGATTGCTGGGAAGGAGTGGCTTAGGCAATGTCAAGTAGCAACAGCACTGCAGGTTTGATTTTTTCTCAGCCCCGACTGGTTCCACATCGCATCCTTGGAACATCCCAAGGGAAAAGCCAAACGCACTGTTTCTTCTATCATGTGCGTTGAAAAGGCAAATTAAAGATCAACACTCAAGCCAGTGTACCCCTACCCTAGTCCTCCTCCTTTTTGGCGGAGCGCTTTTTGGGGGCAGGCTTCGGCGCCGTTTTGGCTTTTGCCTTCGCCTTGGACTTGGGGGTTCCTTGGTCTGTTCTGAGCCGTTTCCTGGGCGGCTGCTGCTGCTGGTCGGCCAAAGCTCTGCGGCGTTGCTTCTCATGCTCAGTAATCAGAGACCTGAGCTAATGTAGGCAATTAAATATAATCTATGACGTGTTCGAAAACTTATAGGCATTGAGCTCACTGCCTGGCACGTGGCTCCAACATCAAAGCTTCGCTGCACCTGAGCATCCACTACCTAGACGAAGTTTTTTCACGGTTCAGAAAGGAAGTAGAAAAGATCTCATTCAATTCAATGCCCTTATATTCCTGAGACTGGCACACTTTCTTGGCTGACACCATGATGGCCTTCATAGATGTCTCCAACCTTGGCTAAATGATTGCAATGTGTGACCAATTATGAAGGATTTGATTTGTTACCTCAAAATGTCAAGAAGCTGTTCAGTAAATCCATCCACCACGCCATCACTGTAAAAGCCATTCAGCTCATCAACATTCTTGGTCAAGGTCGATTTTAAGCCGTCAATCTTCTCCTTCATCCTGGGATAGTGGGATTTGGTTTGTGTCATTATTGGGCTACAGAATGCTATTAAATTGAACAAGCCATCCTGAAATTTCAAAACATGGGAACAAGACCGGAGTTCTGAGCACCCTTCCTTCTCAGAAGGTCACTGGGTTCTCCATGGATTGCATTGATTTTGTCGGACAGCTCTTGCAACTTCATAATCCGTTTTTGTATGCCACCTAAAACCTTGGTAGCGTGCTGGGATGCCACCATCGGTTTCTCTACTTCGGGAAAGCCTGACAGCCTCAAAGCTTTGGCAATCTCATTCTCTGCAGGTTGGCCGGGCGAAGCTGACGGCACGGCGCCCAAGATTCCATGGGCTTGGCCTTGCGGGGTGTGGTCTAGACCCGGTCAGGGGCAAAGCTGGACTCTAGACCCATTAAGGAGCAGAATGACAGCACATACAAGGAATGCATATCGAATAATTAAGATGGCCTGCAACGGACGTCCCATTGAAAACAGATTTGATGTCGAGATCCTGAACCTTGCCCTCTTCTTCCGAAGAACATATCTTCTTGAGTATGTTGCGCTTGATATTCCTAAGCCAAGACACCAGCAGAGAAGAGAGAATTCTAGACTAGTGGCACATCATAAAACAATCCCATGAGCACAGATGTGTAAAACCTAGTTTCTTCAGATTTCCTTTCACGGCCGTCTCCACCCAATACATAGTTCCACCGCCATACTTCGATTCCCTGGCAGGGCTGTGGGGACATGGGCGCTATCCCAACTCATGTCAAACAATCTTGAAACTGATTTGATTTGAGCTTTGCCTTGTCATCGTTGGGTCATCTTTGCATGACTCCTTGATGCAGTCGATCTTCTCCCTCAATGCAGCAGCATTGGGGAAGAGCAAGGATGCTAATCTGGATAATCTGAACTGCATAAGTGGGTTAGATGTGAACCTACAGTATTATTTTTTGTCATGGCACTGCGAATAGCCATTGTCCACCATGTCCTTCTCTGTTTGAAATTCAAACTCTACGTTCAAAGCTGCTTCATCAATCTCTTCGGTGATCTTCTGGCACACGGTGACGAATTTATCCTCCAGGAATGGGGATTGGAAATGTTGGGATGACATGTTGAAAATAAAACCAGGCAAAAAAAAAACATACAATAATTTCATTATTCATTCCATAGGTTTACCCTACAAGGCCTTCTAACCACGTTTATTGTATATGGAACTCCCTTTAAAAAAAAAACAAACCACAGGTTTTACAACAAACCAGTCCGGTTCGTAGTTGCATTTTTCGAAGAGGACAAACAATCCATCTCTGTCTGCACCAGGTCGATCCCATTTTTTAACGAACTCTTCGGGGACCCTGTAGGAACCATCTTTCAAAGGTGTGAAAACACGTCTCAGCCTTTTGTCAATGGCGCCCTTTGACATGGCCGGAACCGGTGCTGAGGACCCTGGGCGATCATCAGCTCTCTCCGCATTGGTAGTGCCTTCACCCAGCATGCCTGGCTGGCTGGGCTCGGAAGCTGGTGGCGTCTGGGAAACCACTGATTGGGGCATCTCTCTCCGAACAAGTTCGTATGCCTCCTTTGACTTAGAGAAAGGATCTGCTTGGGAATGTGCTTGTCTCAGAATTTCCTTAGACGTGGTGAAATGTTAAAAAAAATCAACCCTTCCCCACAAGAGTCCAAAGTCTAGTAAAAGAACTCAGGGTAGATGTACCATAATATTATCCCGCTTTTTTTTGTGGTTGTTACACCTCAAACCGATATATAATAATCTTTATTGAGATGTGGATACTTGACAAGGGAAAACAATGAACAATAAGAACAAAATGGGGATACTTAACATGGGACAAGAATAACCAGGAATCACAAACCATTCCCCACCAAAAAAACATAGCCCAGAAACAGGGGTACTGTTGGAGTCTTCAGGCGGCACTGCTGATTTCGGGGATTGTTCATCAACTTCAACATCAGAATCATGTGGGGTGTCAGGTAGAGTGCAACTTTCAGAGGCCCCACCATCACCACCTACCCGCTGTCCACTCACCGGGACCAGCAAAGGCTTTGGAGCAGAACCTTTGCCGCTGCCAGTCGATGTAGGCGCCGTGGGACCTTGGGCGGCGGGAAAGCAGGTTATTTTTTAGGGTTCAATCCAACCAGAAGCTTGATAAAATCAGCCTTGAATTTTAAGATTTGAAACCAATGGTTTGGTGGGTCCAAGATGGTCCAAGCACATTATCCCGCTGGATTGTTTTTTGTTAGGACATCGATTGCTCAAAGAATGTTGAGGCTACAGATGGCTACAGGGTTTTCCAAGATCCCAGGGTATAAATACCAATTTTTCAATATAGCACATAAATCTTTTGGATGGTAATCACCTGGGAAAAGAAATTTGATCAAGTTGCTCTTCAAACCCTCATCATCAGATTCAAGATCGATCACAGATGATGCACCAACTGCTTCGGCGAGAAAAGCAAAGCCCTTGCCAGCGCCAGGGCCCCCAATACCCTTGCCTCGGTCAGCTTCCTCCTCTGCCTGGCAGGCAGCAACCATATTATCTTTATGGGATCCTAATGGTTCTTCTTGTCTATTCAAGGGAAATTGGCCCAACAAGTTATGCACTACACTGTGGATTCCTGATTTGAATTTTGTAGTATACAATATCTTTGTGTACTATCGACATAGCCTTTTTAGCACCCCGCTATCTTACCAGAATAGGTATTGTTTCAAAAAAAAGAAAATCAACCGTTTGGACTTTGGGTACAGTTTCATAATGTTTCATGTGAAACGTGCATGCTCGATATAATCTGCACCCCAATATGTTGGAAGCAATCCCAATTTCCGATTGCTTTTGAAAGGGGTTGTCCACATTCAAAAGGTTCTAGAAGAAATGGATTGCAATTTGAATTTGGGGTTTAATTTTCCCCCACCCCCAAGAACTGACCTTCAATTGGGCAAGTTCCCTCTCCATCGCCGCGACATCATCATCGCCAAAGGCACTCAAGGACATTGGCAAGTCACTTGCGAGTTGAAGGCCAGCTTGGAGGGTTGAACAGGACCAAGCCCTACTTTGAAGTCTCTCAGACATCTTTTGGGCACAAAGACTATGGGAAAGGATAGCCTCGTGATTTTTTTCCAGTCTTGAGATCAAATTGATTTTGATCAACAATAAAAAAACATGCAAACAGGAGTCCGCCAATTTCCGGGTTTTTCCCGCCAATTTCCGGGTTTTTCCCGGGGATTTCCGGGTCCTTTTTTCCGCCCGTTTTGAACGTTGTTACACAACGGCAAGCTAATTTGTTCAAATCTGCAAATTTTGCAATGATTTGGAGTAAGCTGCATGTTTTCCCTATTAGTTCCCCAAATTCTATGCTTAGAGTTTGGAAACCTTTCTGCAGACTTGAGGCATCAGGATATGAGGACAAATTGGATTTAAATATAGTCGGGAATGAGTGGCCTCCATTCCGGGGGAATGGAAAGCCCTTTGGAACCACGAAGGTACCTAATCACATCTCTGAACCGCGCATCATCGCGCCAATCCTCGTACTGCATCTCGGCGAACATCAGGGTGAGGGGCCGGTTATCTTCAACCTTGGTCTTTTGGTGATCAAACAAATCAGCTACTTCAGATTCACCATACAATTTTTATTTGAAACAATTCCCCAATTCCACGAATAATATACAGCCAAAGAACCTCAGGAAACTTCTGCTTTCGTTCATGCAGCTTTGGGACGAGTCTCACCACAAATGATGCAAATTTTGGAGTATATATCCTCAGATTTGACACCATGCAGCCCTGCCAAACCCTTTGGTTTACAGCACCTGAGAAATCGAATCATTAGATAAACTGCTATTATCAACAAAAGTGTTTTGAAAGGTTTGCACCAAATTTCGAACAAAAATATATGATAATGCTTTCACGGTTCTGGGTTCGCTTCAAATCTCTTGTGCCATGGTATGCAACTTCTCCCCAACGGTTTATGTAACGCCTTGTTGTTGATTTGGAAGCTGGGCTCTTGTCTTTCTTTCCCTTGAAGTG